CTCTGATCAAAATATAGTGTTCGCCTGCAGACAGCATCTCTGGCTTATCGGCGTGTTCTGCTATTGGTTGGCAATATCTACCAATTTTGCCCGGAAGCAACCCGCATCTTCCACTGATCGTGGAAGCTGTTCATTTAGATACTCAAACTGGGCCTGCTTGTTGAGCTTGTCAATTGCTTTTGGCGACAATCGGTATTCCATTCCAATTGGGAGAACTTCCAACTGTGTGCGGGTGAACTGTACAGATGACAGATTGTATACATGCTTTAAGCACCCAGTACGGAAGAAATCAGTTGGAGTGTTTGCAAGATAACCCTTCATATTGTGGGTTGTTTTTGTTCTTGTGCGACGAAGAATATCGGCTGAAAAGGCCTCAAATTTCAACCGGCAAACCAACGACAATCCTTTGAGCATGCATGCGAACCGTCTCTGTGTCTCGATGAGTTTTTCTTCTCGCTCAAGACAGACATCGATGTGCGCCGACGATATTCTTGACATTGGTATTGCCAGTCGGCAAATTGTTTCTCGACAGAGTCTTAGTAAATCGCCTCGAAAAACAACATGAGCGGATAAATCCTTCAAAACATGCTCTCCAAGTGCGTTCCACAGTTAACTTACAGCGCAAGGATAACAATCGATCTAATGCCCTCACAACGGTATCGGGGTGGGTCCGAGGATGGACCGGAGTTGAGCATCATCTCTCACTAAGCATATCTTGGTAACTCGACATCATGTGGACCCGGAGAACGCGTTCAGTGTGTTATTGCGCAACAATCCGGTAATTTTGGCAATTAGTGAGGCTTTGCTAATTAGGGCTTATCAACCTGTGTTGTGTGCACAGAAACTATTGAGACAAACAATTAGCTTACCGTGGTTTTGATTTTGACATTTTGTTGGGTATTTTGAAAGTGACAGAAAGCAAGATTTTTTAGACGTTTTGCTAACGGGACGGGAAGATGATTCACTCGAGAGAAGAGTCCTCCGGAAAGCTGCGTGGACAGGTCCATAAATGTACTTTCCATGCTTCATACTTTAGCCGTACAAGAGGAACCTAGTTCGCTGCCTGTATTATAGTGCTGTCAAAATTGATAGCTCAGACACTGGAAGAAGAGAATTAGCATAACTTTGGAACGATGCAAGAAAATGTTTATCCCAAATTGTTCATCAGAAAGCACGCCGCTGTCGGAATGCACCCGATAACTGTCATGACCGTTCCTAAAATGGACCTCTTTCTCATCATGCCGTTCAAAGGGGAATTCGTTTTCGAGTTACTGAACTGAAGGCTTTCGACTGCGGCAGCCAAAGCCTATCCGAATGTAGTGGCACAGATTACCCCGCTTATTACCTAACGCATTAAAGACAAACTCCAGATACAGTCCAAATAATGTCAAGGAAAGTTTTATGCATTCAGATGGATGCATTTTCAGCATTTTACACAATCTACCATAAATGCGATAAAACAGCATCAGTAAATATGAGAATTATACAATTTTAAAAAATAATGGGTAAGGAATGCACAGATAGCACTTAGGGAACCAGTCCCGCATCTTTGATCAAGGACCGAAAATTGTTAGAACGAGTTATAAGATTCTTCATCAAGCTGAGGAGTGCAAGTTTTGTTAAAATACCTATTGATAAGTCGTTTCATTTGGATAAAAGCAGCAAACTGCGAGTTACGCGCGGTGTCTCGGATACTTCCTCAAAGAATCGATGAACCTGAGCGGCCTGAGTGACCATGAAAAGGTTCAGCCAAAAAATCCGTCAAAATATTCATAAAATGTGGTACGTTTTCAGGAGAAAGCGCAAAAAAAGATGTTTTAGGGGAGAACGGTAACAGCCAATACAAAGGCCCTGACGTATAATTTATATCGATTAGCTTGCACCTGTGATGCAAGTTGCATTGCACATACGACCACGCATTTGTCAAAATGGATAGCTGAGCACTGCCCGGGGCTTCAACAGTATCACCATGGAGCACAAGTCCCGAAATATATATGAAACCCGTCCAGATAACTCATATAAAGCCTGCTACACTGTGACTAACCAGTGCCCAAAAATGCTTAGAAAACGTCTCCTGAAGACGACTGAGGTCACTGCTATCTGAGTGATACAGTCGGAGTTGTGCAAAGGCCATTGCGCAAGAGTTCACCTCGTGTTGGACTGCGGCAAGTCACCTGAGTCGAACACTGGCGACGGCCGAGTGCGGTCTTCAAGGCGCCATGGGCAGCCGTGATATCTAACTTCAGTTGATCGACCAGAGTATCTAACGAATGTAGCAGCATTGATCATATGCTCCCGAGTCACCCATTCTCGGTCCGGCATTCACTGGCTTACTGAGTTGTATATACATTATTACAACTGCATTTAGGTGATGAGTACTGAAAAGTGATCACTTCACAACCTCCAGTTTTAATTTGCGAAACACGTGAAATGACGTCAGCAGTCACCGCAAATGCTGCTGGGAAGATGGGTGAATTGGTGAAATACTCCTAGGTACTAGTCATCGAAAGTTAAAGGGTTAGCGAGTGGCTGGTGGTCTTACAACGGTTAAACACCAAGATGACACCGTCCGCATATCAGAAAATAAACCAAAGTCAACCAACGACACTTGTTATCAGAAAGCTATCATATCATATATCGTAGACCATGACCCAACCGTCGTATTCGAGTAAAGAGTATGAAGAATGCTCTCGTTATTGAAGAGAACACTCTTCGACAAAACGATGTCGAAGAGCGATCCGCTGCATCGCAGACATTCATAAAATCGAGGAAAACGGCTATCGTTGTTTGCGGTATGTGGCACGCTGTTCTTGCGCCTGCTGCAAAGTGATTAGACCGTGTATACAGCATTACTCTAGAAGGAATGCGGTATGTTCCTTCCTTCATTCGGGCTCCTGTTCCAAGATAAGTAGGCGAAGGGAAATGGAAGCCAGTAACGTGGTCAATGTTTGAGTAGGATTGATACCCATGTGGTTAACAAAGACGACCTGATTGCATTCTTGTTATATGGCCACTATCCTAAATTTACCCGTTGATCTGGATCGTCTCATTCTTTCAAACCTGCTTGCATGGGTGAGTCAGTGGGTTGTACAGGACCTCACTTCAATCTTAGATACTACTGGTGAAAGGGAATATGGACAAACAGCGCGAACACGATGAAGAGGGGTGATCGCGAGCATAGAGCACGTAGAAGGTTCTCATGTTTGACGAGAAAACACTTCGACACAACCGTGTCGAACAGTGATCGGCTACATCGAAGGCAGTCTTGAAACCGAGGAAAATGGCTGTCGTTGTTTGCAATGTATAGTACGCTTTCTTGCGCCTGCCGCAAAGTGATTACACGGTTTCCACAACATTACTCCGGACGGAATGCGGTATGCTCCTTCCTTCATCCGGGCTGCTGTTCTGAGGTAAGTCGATGAACTGGTCATTGTTTGGTACCCCTGTGGTTAACACAGACGACGTGGTTGCATTCTTGTTATAGGGCCACTATCAAAAATCTACCTGTTGACCTGGATCGCCTCATTATTTCATAACTTCGATCTTAGATAGCACTGGTACAAGGGAATCTGGACCAGCAGCGCGAACACGATGGAGAGGGGTGATCGCGCTTCGAACCTCAATGACCAATCAAACTTCTAAATTGGCTGGCAACGACGTAGTTTGTACCACCTTGGCTGGAAGAGGTCAAATTAGCAGAGGGTCAACTGAACTAATCTAAAAGGAGCTCCACTCAGCAAGTCAGATAGTGGTTTTCTTTGCGTAACGGTGCACTGATGACTTCTGTTAGTACTTCACCGACGCATTAGCTCATGTGACCAGTAGTGGAGAACAGCTTAAGGAGTCTGAAGCATTTCCCCACTCTTCAAATTCGTGCGTTTCCTAAACCATTTTGACCAAGTAGGCATCTTTGACAGTACGTAGGCGCCGTTTTTATCACTCCTCTGTCAGTCCGTTCGGTCCATTTCGATCAGGGCCAGTGAGGAGCATCCGTCTAGACACCAACATATTCACAGAGCTGTGGGATATTTAGAGTCTAGTACCATGGCGACTGATAGTGGTGCAAGCAGGGAATCCCGTTTAGTGCACGATGGCCGAAATACTATTTCACTGAGACACAGTGCATTCAGATTAATTAGTTCATTATATTGTCGAGATAATATCTCAGTTGCCAACTCATTGGGACGTTTGTTACATCTCCGGAGGTGGTCCATGGAAATTTGGTAGTGAGCTGGAGTATGGTCGCAGTCGAAGCAAGTGTTCGAGGAAGACCGGTAGTCTAGAATGCAAGTGCGGTGCTTTCTAAATGAGTCTATCACTAGATAGCTGTCGGAGGGCACCGAACGGCAGACCAGTTCACATGTGACTGAAGGCCGTGTTGCTAAGAAACATTCAGTTGCTCGGCGCACAGCTGTAACGATTGCTGTCTATTGTCAGGGCGTTCAGAGTAGGGCGCAAAGCTATAACCTAAGTGAGCATCTGAAAAGATCAGACAACCAACTTACGCATTCAAATCCCTTGCAGCTGGGATGATATCTGAAATAACAGCACTGCGAAGTAGCGTATCGAGTTGGTGGTAGAAGGCGTACATGATAATAACCTGAAGGTTGCAGTAACTGTAGATGGCAGAACCCTGAAGGTACCGCAACTGCCGTCAATCTATATCGGGATTGTAGATAGAATGTTAACAGGTGGTTTGGAGAGTAGTTGGAGGAACGAATGCGGACTAATGAGGGGAAGCACCCACAGTATTATTATTCCGCTTATCCGCCCTAGTGTCGAAACTGGTTGATTGCCGATGCCGTGTGTGGCTGGAATTTGATGAATTCATCAACGTTGGGGATCGTCAACCAAAGTCTTTGGCTCAATAGTCTGACCGATAAAGGACGAAGGAATAAAACCTCACGGAAGTCTGTATTTGGCTGCGGTAAAAGACGACAATAAAAACCAGGATGTTAAAAGGGGAAAGGAAAATCGAAACAACCACAGTGTAAACTCACATGCATTAAACTCACAGGGCCGCTACAAGTCTAAACGGAACCCAGCAAAGCGCACTGTAGATCACTCTGTGTCCAATTGCAATTTGCCTCCACGGTTATGGCACTAGACGATGCTGTATCATTGCTGAGGGAGTAGGAGACAGTTTCAAACTGCGCGCATTCCTCCTGGTCATGAAAACTTGGAATAGAAGTACAGCGTGTGACGGGTGTTAAAAAGTGTGCGTTCATCTCTTGCCGTTGACAACAGCTATTATGTGTTGTGCACAGGTTGCTTGCGGAACTTGGTGCAATATTCTCAGTTCTCGGACAACTGGAATCATCAGGCGATACATCGGAATTGTCATTGAATTTGTTTTGAGACTGAAAATGAAAGAAAATTTGAACTCAACGTGAACCGGGTTAATTAACTGAAGGGTAAGCTAGGCAGCAGATCGTGACTATGGAATAAAAATGTCACCTGTTTCTTTCTAGTTAACCAGAAGCAGCCACAGCAAAAGTAACACAAATCAGCAAAACCGAAGCTACGCTGTCGTACTAATTCCAGATTAACAACTGAGCGTACGAAGCTTGAGCACGGGAATCACACAGAATTAGCAGTTGTCACGAGCAGAAAAGCAACTTATTTATGATGTCCACCAAGGTTCCAAGCGACATTAGGTGTAACTCAGTCATGGAGCACTTTATCGTGGTCTACATCGATTGCTGAGCAACGTTAGAAAACTGGACATCGCTGTTCTAGCAAGGATTCCAATGCACATGTCAGTCATCGTTACTGATGCGAACGCCACTTTGGCGGTTGTAACGAAGGAACAACGCTGTCTAGTTCCGTCGCACGAAATGCATGTAAATAATGGAACCTCAAGTGATAAACCCAGACTATATGCAGGTTCTGGACAGAAAACTGTTGGGGTAAAATAGCGTGTAGTGTAATCCCGTAATCGCGGTTATGAAGAGTAGGATAATGTACAAGACAGAACGCAAGTGGAAATTTGCAACGTGCGGGCAGCGGGGCGGAAACGGATAACCGCAACAGTAATGTCGATAGCAGACTGATGAAACGTGACCTCGAGACCAAGCGCACGCGAATGAAATGGGAGAATAACGATATTCGTGGGAGAATGTAGTGACCTAAAGCGCAAAAAGTGTATTAATAATTTGGAAAGGGAGAACTAGGTGGGAACAGGGGCGCTGAATCATCAAGAGACAGATATACATCTGGTGCAGGGAGTCAAAATTCTTTTGGACTTTACAGTGGTCAACAAGCACTCGCTAAAAGTCACTCGGATAATGGAGATAAACATCTCACATTCTGCGGAGAAAATCATTTATCTACTCATGAGTACGAGATTTTCGATGTAATCGATAGATGATCCGTAGCGGTCAGTTCCCATATACACAGTACGCAATACATCCGGAAGGTTACTGGACGACCGTTTCCTGCGTGTATGCGATTCCCTATCCGTTTGTGTGTCAGTAGCCATTGGCTGGTTTCGCTGCTTCATATAGCAAGAAACAAAAAAAGGACGATAATGAGAAAAGATACAAGAAAGAAAATAATTTCAGCCATATATATGGATTCAAGTGGGTTCACTTTTCGCCCAACACATATAATCTATTTTATTAAATCCATAACCAAAATAATGAACCGAATAACGAGAATTCCATACTCTTAGACTTGGCCATTGTGAGCCCACCTGGCTGTAGATGTGCAAACGAAGTGGGCAACGATTGTAAAAGCTCAGCTTCCGTGCAGATAAGCGTAAGTGAAAGGAAGATCGGTTGTTGTGGAGTTCTCCGAGCTGGGCAACCTGGTTGTAAACGTTTCGCCACCATTCGAGGTGGCATCTTCAGTGCGGGATTGATAGCAGTTAAATAGAAGTAGCTGGTAGAAAGCAAAATCCAATAATCCGTTATTGGGTTTTGCTTTCTACCAGCTGCTGCTACTTAACTGCTATCAATCCCGCACTGAAGATGCCATCTCGAATGGTGGCGAAACGTTTGCAACCAAGTTGCCGAGCTCGGAGAACTCCACAACAACTGAGCAAGCCTCCCGAGCTACCAATATTCCAACTCATTTTGAAAGGAAGATCATTGATAAGGTTGATGATCCCTTGGAATATCGTCAAGTACGACCTCATAGCAAATGAGGGGCTACCCTGTCCTCTGCACAGCAGTAACGTGTAAGTCAGTGGATAGTGAGCGGCGCTATCTCACATCTAGTAACTTATTTACGATGGTTGTTGCCGTCCCCGTAGCTCAGTGGTCTCAACCACGGACTGGCAACAGTCGAGTTGCGAGTTCCAGCAATATCAGGGTCCGATGGAATGCGCACTGCTGGCGATTCCCGAAATGATGAAACGCGCGTGTAGTGCTTTTCCGGCCGTGTGACCACTGTCTGAGTGAGTCTAGATGTGACGAATTGCTACCTATACCATTCAACTCTCCTTACTAATCTTCTGTAATAATATATTTAACATTACATAAATTGTTTTTGGATTTTATGCAGTGTAATTTACTGTAGCTTATTTTTTTGTATTGCGTCACATTAGCTAAGACGTGTTTCCCATGCTCAGCTAACGTGTATTGATGATGATGACGATGCTGATGGAGTATCGTCGGGACGAACAAATCCCGATGGGCATACATTTGTACTGAAAAAGACCAAAGGGTGTAGTTATCGTAGGGTATGCGCCAAATGTCTCCTCTGGCCAAACCTACGACTGAGATTGATCCCGAGAATTTTTGTACACAAGTGTACAAATCCAAGCAGAGCAAAACAGGCGTGAGCCAATGAGTTAAGATGAACAAGCGACATCCCTCATCGTCCTGATTGGCATCACAGTCCAGGTTAGAAATGTTTGGTCAGTTTGTGCATACCGCAGGACTGCCAAAGCACGCTTGCATTTGCTGATCATGATTATTCGCCTTTCACCACTAGTTGTGACCAAATGCGATCAGACTGCGTTTCGTCCGATGTGTCCGTGCTCCGGCGTCGTATGTGATCCCGATTTCGGCGGACCACCCAGCGATGGCCGAGTGCCAACTAGTTGATCTTCTCGAAATGCAACTCCTGTCTTTGACTACCCAGAGGACACCGATTTCTTCGGTCGCCACTCTAGTCCAGCAAACGAGTTCGAGAAAAACATGTGCGACCTCGATATAAGATTTGTACCGAACCGATACTCCGACGAGGATTTAGCGGTTATCGCAGTGAGTGTAGAAGGGTAGGCGATTAAAAAGCGACCTAATTTTTGTTTGCAAGGTCCAAGCATACTGCTTTCCGGAGCTTTGTTCTAAGATTTGCACGGCATGCTCTGTCACCGGGGATACGGAGACCTATGACTTTGCTGTAGTTCGTCGTTGGGGACAAATTTAGTAAGCTCAGCACTGATGAGATTAGCTACTGTCTGTGAATAAAGTTTCCGGAGTTCAAACGCAACGAAGGAAGTGCGAATTTCGGTAATGGTAGTTGTAGATGTCGCTTGCGAAAGTGAGTGCATACAACCCACTTAAAATGTGCATCAATAACTAGAAGAAGCGCTGCCAAATTAATCGATCCGAAGTGGATAATTATAGGTTCGTTACCACGGCTTCGCAGATAAACGCCAAAGGTGTAAGCGACAAATTCGCTTGGAGCCCGGGACACCGTTTAAGCAATCAAAGTAGACACCAACGCGATCGCCTACACATCAACCGCCAAGAGCAACTATTTGTCCCTGGAATATAGGCACTAGATAACTAGGAAATAAAAAAAGTAAATCGTCTGATGTACGCCGTAACGACGCTTTGCTGCCGCGTGACCATCGCCAGCCGTGCGTGGGCTGAGTATACCGCGAGGATGCTGGCCCCTAAGCGGATCCGAAGCGGTGATCTTATGACTACAAGCCAGGCGTGCAGACCACTTGGCCACCAGCGTTATCTTTAGCTTTGGGCCGGAAGGCTAAGGCTTGACAGATCTTACGTTGCCCACACGCATGTCAAAAAGATTGCGGCAGCCGTATTTCGGCATTAGCCCTCTCAGCAGAGAGCCGCTCAAGATGTACCTAAGGCGGCCACCTCCAACCCTTACATCACCTACCGTTGCTTAGCCCCTAGCGTCTTTGTGCTTGCAACCACGGCATAACATTATGGCACCACAGGCCCAGATTATTCGCAGTCATGCATCGGTGACTGTCTTGATATCCGGACATACCGACCTTGTGCAGTCGTAGATCCCTTTCAAGCCGGAGCGTTGGTAGGCCGTCACAACCCGTAGGCTGCGCAACTTGTGGGCTCAAACACAGTGCCAAACACGCCTTCTGATCGCTAATAGAGTGTCGCATTGCAGTGTTAGTCCCAATGATAAGGTGCGCAAAGCATGCTTTCACGTACATGCTAGTCCACTCACGACCACTCAACCCAGCCCTATCACGCGAGTTTGCATAACTTTGTGCCCCTAACCTGCGTGGAATTAGCTTCCGAATAGCCACTGTTCGTTGAATGGAGGTTAAGAACGCCCATGCGCATCCACCGCACACCATCAACTCATATTATCCATGCATGGGTTATTATACTTATCGTCACTGGCAGACTGTGGCTAGCTCAATTCCAGGACGGTGCGCGCATAGTGCGTCGTACAGATACTGAAAACAATTCAAATGCGTTAACGATCAAGTTCAAGTGATTTACAATTGCAAGCCAGCTCCTTAAGCAGCAATTTAATTGCACTATGGATGCAAGCAATCGAGGAAAGATGTAGAGATATAACCGAGGTAGGTGTAGTTACGAGTAACGATCCGTTGTGTATGCAAAGAAAGAACCACTCTGTGCGAACTAGGAATGTATTTTGTCCACATCTACCTAATCTCGACAGATATAGGAATGAAACAGGATGGCTGGTCTGAACTGGTGAACAGAATACACGACAGGAACTATCATTAATAAGTGTTCTCTGAACGAGGTGTGACAATGCTGTTAACGCTAAATAGCTTGAATAACGTTCTTTACCCAAGCAACCAATAGAAAATAAGGTGGTAGCCTCAGGGATTTCAAGTGATAGTTGGCAACGCATGGCTTCAGTTTCTAAATGCATGAGGCTGTCATACTAAGTCTGGCATCGATAAACCAAAGGCTGAAAATATCTCTAACAACCAATGATCACCAGATATATGTAGGTTAACGCCACAAGGTCTAACTCTAGCAGGGTTCGACATAAGCGCGTTGCTGGTAAATTTCCATGGGATGAAACGGTCATCCATAGCTTCCCGGATGTGTGGGTGGTTACAAAGCTGTTTGCTCTTTACCTCTGCCACTCCCAGCCGCGTCAGAGAAAGAACTCTCACAGGCTCTGCAACACAAGCTCTCCATTTACAAGTATGGGAAAAGTACAACTAGCTGTGTTTTTAAACTCACTGGCCTACTCAATCGATCGCCTGATTGACCGCAATGAAGCAGACGCTTCCCGAATTCAGCTCCGCTCATGTCTCTATTATAGGTATAGTTTCACTGAATATGACTAAAAACTGCTCGACACAGTAACTCACAGTTAAGTGAAGTGAGAATTTAAAGGTTCAAAACGTAGACAAATGAAAGTATAAATAAGTCGATAAAAATATTTGAATGACTCATTCATTTAGCTCTCCATGTACCAGGGGCAAGTAAGAAAACACGAGAAGTGTGTGAAATGTGCGGTTCGGATGAATGAAATAGAACAAAATCATGGGTGATATGCACAGGTGCACAACAAGAGTGACCAACAAAATATCAGAGCTCAAGTCAGTAAGAGGATAAATTCGAATTGTGGATGTCCAGGCGCTTAAACACAACTACTGCACTGTGCAAGTCATGACCACCGGTGGCCAAACAGTCTTCTGATAGGTTGGTATCCTCCATGGCAGTGGAGTATAGGTTGCAAGTTGTGATGGTCTGCATCCGTCTCCAGCGGTTCAGTGGCATAAGCTGCAAACGATCATGGAAATGCACAGCACCGATAACAACACAGGTAAATAGTTTAGATTAAAAAAACGGTGAATTGAGTAACCAGAAAATGGTGTCAAAATGCTAAAATGGGTGTGATGTGTTCACGTTACACATCCAGTTGAAGGATAAGCGGTCGATGAATGTCATCATCTACTGGATGCACCAATTTACCTGGTCTTGTGCGATGAGCTTCATAGGTCGCAAAACGAGACGTTTGTCTGAATGCGTATGCGAGTACCATCCAGCATCGCTGAGGATTGAACAAAACGTGCACCACCGCACTGGCGGCACACCTAGTCCAAACGAATCGTCTAGTCGTTATCGCTAAAGCTTTTCGTCCGATCTAGTGTGTGAGGATTATGCATTCCAAACTTATCAGACGAGAAACGGTGCACTGGCGGAGGTAGTCGCGATTCGTCCCGGCAACCCCTTGTTGTGTGTGTAAAAACGTTTCGTCAAGGCTTTCGCTTTACTATGGCCAGATGTCGTCTGGGCAGTTTTCGTGTGAACAAATCATACCAATTTTTAGCATGTGACACTTCTTTTCTAGTTACTCAATTCAACCTTTTTCATCTCCACTATTTAACTGTGTTGAATTTGGACTGACGAGGAATCATCGGAAACGATCCTGTCTGCTTGACTGTCTTTCCATGACAAAAACGGGAATTATACATTGGAAGCTTTTGAATTAACGAATAGAAGGAAAGCGCTGGAAGTGAACCAATAATCGGCCGCTAGAATTCACATCATCGCCGAAACTGTTACGCTTATCACCCTAAAGGACAGAATCCTGGTTCGTTTCCAATACTTAGTCATGTATCAGTTCAGCTTCTGTCTACGCGGATAGAGGAACACTTATCTGTCTTCTTGCAACGTGGCATTGAGTGTCCACAGCTCCATACTCGAATAACTGCTTGTTAGCCATCAGATTCGGATTGAGGAAACATTTAAAAGTTTAGATGGTATCGAAGCGTGACCCCAAAGGACTCAGAAAGCGTGTTTCGGTCACCGCTGAGTCCATTACTATAAGATTACTGCAGTCGGTTGTGCAAACAGAGAGCACTGGTACGAGCGCATTCTGTCCTGACTATTATGAAATCACATTTACACCGAACAGTGACTGTGGCCGAAAGTGACCATTGCCGTTCAGATCAGCCAACACGCTGGTTCATTGTGTGTGTGTGTGTGTGTGTGTGTGTGTGACAGGGCGTCTCATGATGCCTAGCAAAAGACTGAATGGACCAAATATTAATCGATTTTACTGAACTCAACCAATCATACGCCCAGCTTTCGAAGTTCAATCAAGTTTGGCTTGGTCTAGTGAAGTGAATTGTCAAAAAAAGTACTCTACGCAATTGCTGCGCATCTAAAACTGTCATGCATTCCAAGTAGCGCTGCTGTACAGAGAAAATAAAATCCGGCTATGTGGAAACCGGTAAACTACGAAACCTTAGGATAGAGGAAGAAAAAGAAGCAAAACCTTACTCGCCGTAGCACCGAAAGAACGTAAGCTCGCACTTCCTCCTGGGGGAATTCTGTTCGACCATGTGGATTGCAACAGCTCTCTGACGAGCAAGAACAGGGGAAGCAAGCACGATCTACCTAAAAGAAGAAAAGGCTTCAGTAGGCATCCAGATAAACATAAAACAAAAAACCGCGGTATTTATGGAAGTAGGGGAGCTATATATTCATTAATTCGATGAATACAAGCGGCTCGAACGGAGATGAGAAAAAACGGAATGGTCGGTTGGCCAATGTTGGTAAGGCGGAGGAAATGAAGATGGGGAACAATCTCAGCGATTCAGTAAGAACACCAATTAAAGGCAAAAGGTTTTTTTAATGATCCATCTACGAGCCGGTATAAACCATATAAGATTAAAATACAAAGTAATGGATAGTGATTGGTCCAGAGGTTTCTTCAGAAGTCGGTCAACGTGTGCGATGAAAATCCGTAAACCCTTTAGAGGTGTAAGTTCGAAAATCCTAAACAAGTGTGGTTGATGTTTCAGGGAAAAATAAGTGGAAGTAGAAACATGGAAGATGAAAAATGGGTAAGGTGTAAGGAAACCGAGACGAATAAGTATTGTCAAAAACAGCATACCGACGTAGTTAGTATGTCGGCACGGAGTAGCGAAAAATTGTGTGAAATTCTGAACATGAGCTAGCCTACTGAGGAATCTAACCAGCGTACGTCTAACAATTTAAACGAAAATGGAACGCAGCGTGATACGATCGGCACGCAGATTTAAAGTACATGGACAATACGAATAGGCTGTACCAAAACAGACTTCGTATGCTTTGGGCGCTCAAGCGCAGCTTCAGCACTTGGTCCGAAGAGATTGCTACTCGCTTCTTCGTCTCAATAATACGACCAATGCTAGAGTATGACTCTCCCGCGTATTGTCCTATCAACTGGGGCCAGGTAGAAAAGATTGAGTGAGTGCAGAATGCAGCCACCAGGCTGATTCCCAACTTATGAGGTGTGCCGTACGAAGACCGTGTAAGAAACTAGGCCTGTACACCCTAGCTTATCGTCGAATGCGGGTTGACTCATCATGACGCACCAGATAATACATCTGAGAGATTACCCCATGTTGAGACTGCTGCTTCATCTGCGCACACCAAGCAGCACACGAGGACACTGGTACAAGCTTGTCATACCGGATTTGAAGCGGGTCGCTCACCAACTCTGTTTCGAACGCAGAGTGGTGAATGTATGGAACGGCCTGCCGCAGCACGTGGTTGAGGCAAATTTGGCGTCGGAATATAAGAAATTCCTGGACAAACACTGCCGACGCAAAATATATTGAGCGCAACACAACATAATAAGTGTCCCTGAGTGACATTAGACGCAGCTACACAGAGTAAACTCTACTTGCTGCTTCCAACCAGTAACAAGACAGTGATCGACAGAACGATGCTGGATGATGCTTTTCATATGGAATTATATCCAACAAAACCAGACAGCGACACGGTAGAAGAATACGTTGTTGGCCATAGTGGAGGAAATACTAACAGAGCAAGACTAACGAGCAAACAGGATGGCAGCAGAGCAAAGAAATATTCCAAAATGTAGAACATAACTACTTCCGGGTAGTATCATGCAGCCGAAAAAAATGGATGAAAAATGGTACGCGACCTGTTCAAAAGAAAGCCGCTAATGTCTACAGGTGCAGCCAAAACGGTCGAAAAACACCAGAAATAAAAAGCGAAGCGGTGAACTAATGATTGATCATCATCATCATCATCATCATCATCATCATCATCATCAATACACGTTAGCTAAGAGTGAGGAACACATCTAAGCTAATATGCCGCAATACAAAAAGAACACAGTAGAAAAATTCAAGAAGTGGGTAATATAAGGTTAAATGTTATATCACATATCAGATATGAGGTCGTGATTGGATGGGTAATCTAAAGGAGAGGAGGTTCGATAAAGAAACTAACAAGGCGAACGCCACTGGTGCCAGCTCTTCGCAATATATCATTAAGGGTGCCCAATAATGTTGTGGCAAAAAAGTTATCAACAGTAATCCGGACCGATGCTTTGTTGCCACACAACCACCAACAGCCACTTGTGGGCGAAGCGTACAGTGAGGGCCGCCCGGTCACCTGCGCAAGCTCGAAACGGCGACCTCGGAGTTGCCAGGCAGACGCCTTGTCCTTTCGGCCAAGGGCCAGGCAGATACGTGGTGGGTAGATGTGTTGAGAAGGCGACGCGATGGAGGCAAGGTATAAAATAAAGAACCCATGTCTAAATATTATAACAGTTCGAAAGTGGAAACTCAGATCCATTTGCGCACTTCCCTCGTGGCACCTTTCCGACTTGCTGTTCTGCTGTGCCACTTCCATCATAACATATCTCTAGAGGTAGATTTCTCCACTACGCATCCTTTGTCCGGCTAATTTGTGTACCACGCGTCCTTCATCCGCGGCGATCCAGGATTTCTCTGGTTTCCTTGCGCCCCCTCGTTTTCACACATAGTAGTCACTAGTTGTGCGCCACACTTCTCCCTTTCCAAAGTTTCCGTGGCAGCCGAAAGCCCACACAGTAACTCCGACCTCTAAGGCAGTTCCATGTAAACCGTAGTTTCTTCACCTCGTTCGTACCACTTCCTCAATTCGCTAGCATGAACTCGTCGCCTATCTCACCGCCAAGCAATGGTGCATAGAGGCACTCGCGGACTGATTACGCCAAACGACAGAAGTTTCCTCTATCCGGGGCCACATGCGGTCGCATGTTAGTGAGGTTTGTTCCCCAACTTCGGACCAATTGGAAAGTCTCCGGAAAATTTCCTCATGTTGACTCCGGATTTTTCCATCTTCTGCTCATGAGTTACTCTCAGTTTCCGGTTCGCGACTTTAATGTTGTTCCGTAATTTCCCTTGGTGGTAACTGGCAGGTCGGCCACATGAATACCTCTAGATCCACAACAAAGTCGAGGTCTAGGGCTATACACTAGCTGGAATGAGAATCTCTTGATGCTTGCTTGGACGCGCGGTGAACTAGCAAGTGTAGTGGTGAAGCCTCTTTTAATTCGCTCTCTTCATCTCCATCCATTCTTTAATCGTTCTATTATTCCTCTCCGTTAATCCATTAGTTTGAGGATGGCAGGGAACGGTCCGAATCGGCTTGATGCCCAGTTTCTCCAAGCATGTCCGGAATTCATCACTTTCAAAGTATGGGCCCTGGGTCTGTCAGTATGGCCTACGGAATCCCATGGCTCGCCATCACGTGTTTCAGCACGGCACGTATTATCGTGTAAGCCCGTTGATCCGGAATTTCCGCGGATTCAATCCATCGAGTAAAGTGCTGAGTCGTCACGATTATATAATGATTGATTTGTCTTGTTAAAGGAATAGAGGCCATCAAGTAGATTAACCACAACTCATCAATCTCAGAGACTCGAATCGAGAGCACAGGTTATGGTGGCCCTTGATTGTCACGTGTCAAGAGATGACACCGCTGACACGAAAGCACGTATGAATCAAGGTCTTTTCTCATGAGAGGCTAGTAAGCTCGCTGTCTAAACAAATCATACGTCCTGGCGCACCCAGTATGAGCCATCTCACGACAAAAAATCCCCAAGTATTTTTTTCTATTTCGAGGGATCAACAGAAAAGGGATAGCGTCTCGCCCTTGTGTCCATATCAGAATTCCGGCTGCGTTGACACGCAACTTTTCCGAACAGCGCGTGAACGTCCCGAATTGCTAAACTTGACTGTTGTTTGCAGCAGCTTGACTCATTAGCTGTGTAGGTATCACCCTGTTCAGGAACCTGTCCTTCCGTTATCCAGTCGCCAACTTTCCCGGATTCTGTCCTAGCACTAAACCACTGACACCGAAGGCGATGTATAACAAACCATCATCATTCGCCATGCGAGAAAAAATCTACTGTTACGTTGTTTTTCACTGTTATGTGGTTTATCGTGAAGTCGTAATCTTGTAGGCGCAGCCACCATCTCGACAGTTCAGTTGTACAACTATGATCCGAGCAGGGAGGTGCGGTGGAGCTTGCTGCCACGACTCAGACCGCAAGAACAAGAAATAACAACGGTTAGATAGGAGATTTGGGTGCACATTGAATATAGAGAAAATAAAGCAAGAAGGAAATGCGTTAATCAAAGTGGAACGGAAATCAACAACTAGATGTAAGAAACCGAGTGCAGGAACGCCACTGACTTCGTGACCGTGTCATGCCTGACACGGTCTCCAACCATGGGGGTGGACTATCCCGATGCCCCATCCAGAAAAACGGCAAGCACCAGCCTCACCAAGTCTCTCAGTCAATTGTTTCATGTCTCCATGCCACGTCATGGACTGGTCAACTCGCAGTTTCGCCCAAGTTAGCGCGGCCACAGAGGTTAATGCAAGCTGAGCCGATCAACAGGCATACGGAGGACATAACCTAGCCAAGGTAAGCGACTACGATTTAGCAAACACTCGGGAGGTACCAGAAGGTTTCTTGCCAAAAACCAACTGGTGGACCTCAGCATTGTTTACTCGGTGTTCCCACCACACGTGAGCAACAGTTCACAAGCACCGCTGGCCAAGGGTTTAATGTCTTCACTGCGAACTGGCGATGTCTCTGATATATACAGTAACACAGGCCTTATCGCAGCGTCATACACTCCACCTTTCAATGACAAGCTGATATCCTGCCGTCTCCATAAATGGTTGAGACACTGGAAAACCACACGAGCCTTGCTGATACGCGAAGCAACTTCCTCAGTGATGTGACCACCAGAGGAGACACAGCTACCAAGGTAAGTGAACCGATCCACAATTCCAGTGGCTGTTCAGAAATAGCTAAAACCGAGGGTGCGTCGGCTTCGTACTGCAAACGCCACTTTGCACTTTGAAGGCGTGAAGTACATGCCGATGTGTGCAGCGATACGCAGAAGTGTTTGCATAACCAATGCATCAGACCCAATAAAAACCATGTCGCCCGCATAATCTAAATCTGTCAGTCGGTCGCCTGTCAGAACTTCCACTCCGGTAGAGTCCGTAAGAACGGAGTCAATCATGATTATTTCGATCACGAAGTTGAAGAGGAAAGGAGATATAGGACAACCTTGGCGAACTTCCCTTGTTGCGGC